CAACCGATCGGTCTGGTATATTTTTAATAACACTGGTATAACAAGTGGGCAAGTAAAATAACTATTCATGAATGTTTTAACCTCAAGAAGACAAGATCTTTATAAGATAAGGAATACTATTGAACTAAAGGTCGTTAGTATGCATGTCATACAATAAGTACTCATGTGAGATCCACTTGTCCATTTATTATACTATTATTCTATCATTGAACGGTTACATATAATGATATGGTATAACCGTTGTAATGAATATTTTTCTCGTTTTGTTGGGGTTGGTTTTATTGTAGTTAATAAATGGCTTTATCATGTCTTAATGAGGTTATTCATAGTTGAAACCAATTTTGACCTTTTCTTATGTACAACTACAAGGTAACAGACATTATAATTGGATTAATATTGGTGGATCATTTTTCAGTCATTCATTAAATGATAAATCACTATATGCTTTTTTGGGGGAGAGATACTATTTCACCAATCGAGTCGCTAGTATCTAACATATTCATACCATTTATTATTTGTGTTGTGTCGAATTCGTATTAAGACTTATTCAACTCTTAATTCATTAATTTCGTGCGACGTCAATTTAAAAAATTTCACTCTCAAGTAGCACCACTCTTAGGTAATACTAAGGCCTGAACACTAATAGTTAATGCGAGGACAATAATTCTGTTTTTCTCAATTATCTTTTGACAAATTTTTCTAACCAAATCTATTATTCTTGTTGGATTAATGACGATTTTTAATTAAGGGTTACAAGCTTGTGTTAAATTTTTTCAATGGATTAAAATAAGATGACGGGTTTGAATTTATTTATGTAGATGCCAATCATACAAAAATAAACACCAGATATAGACCAATTACAAACAATTTAATGTTAAAGTTAAGAACACAAACATAAAAAAATGCAATTCGTACAACAATGGCAATTGTAGAAAGCCCTTATACAATATGAAGCACTAAACATTGTATAGCATATCAAATTAAGATTAAGATTTTTATTTATGGAGTTGTTTTAAGTCTAAATTTTTGTCATATTTTTAGGATTCTCTTTTTCTGTGTACTTATGGAATGATTTTTGTATTTTATTGCACAATAACCCCAGCCTTAAACAATACAAAATGATCTTATATGTTTTTGAAAAAATATGTAAAATGATTTTCAATGTGTTTGAAACTTATCAGTACGTGTCCAAAGTTTATCTGTAACGTGTTCATAGCCATTTATGTATGAGGTCAAGCTTTTTTGACTATGTGCCTATGCCCACTTTTGGGAAACTATATCTGAAAAAAATGACATTTGTATATACAACAATATACATAATTTGCACTTTGATTTAACTTGTTCGTTTGCTCGAATTGTTATTATTTCTGTTTAAATGTCCTACAGATGATGCAAAGAAGACAACACACCTCCTTGAACTTGATGGAGCTAAGGAAAGGCTACATTTGTTTGAAGCAAACTTAACTGAAGAAAGATCATTTGATGCTGTGGTTGATGGTTGTGAAGGTGTCTTCCACACAGCATCTCCTGTTTTCCTTTCAGCCACTGACCCTCAGGTACATGGTGTGGTAGCCACATCTGTATAACACTTGAGGCAAATCAATTCCTTTGTTACCGTGACTTTCAAACTTCTTTATTCAGATACTGCCATTTCTAACTTATTTTCAATGTGTCATAGTGTATATGAAAGCGTCATTTCATTGTCTTTTACAATTTATATAAAAGCGTAGTTTTAACCCACACTTTTCATTGTTAAAGTGCGTATGACAAAACACACTATTCAAATTTCCAATTGAAATCGTGTTCTGCAAATACGCTTTTAGATCAAAAAGCGTAGGTTAAAACCATACATTGATATTTTGACAATGTTCGATTTGGAAATAAGTTAGAAATCACAGTGTTTGTTGAGAAAAAAGAATTTGAATAATATGCATCTCGACACCACAACCATTGTGACATCATCTGTTTGATACTAATGCAGTGCCTACATTTAGAGTCTTCAAAGTGGTCTTGTTACCACTTGAAATTGTTCTGATTGTTTTAGGTGGCAACACATGTAATGAATAACAGAGTGGAGAGTGGATAAGCATATGACAAGATCAAGGAATAAACTTTAACTCTAAGCCTATAAATTAGAAAGGGTATCAAGACTTTGCCTTGGAATAAGTTAATTTGGAAGCTAATGAAAATAGAAACATGAAGACTAGAGCTTTTTTCTTGAATTTATACTTTATATGCAAATATATATTTGAAAGTAGCGGAGATTCTACTTTCTTGATCTGGCTAGAAATTAGCTCCCTTGTATAAGAAGTGAAAACTAAATCTAATAAAACTGAAGTTCATATGCTTTATTCTTTAGAAGTAATGGGCACTGTATCATTCTCTTCGGTGGTCTTCCTCCCCTGCCCCTCCCCTTCTAGGGGGAGAGCAAGAAGATTTGACGTGGTTGAGCTATACTCTTTGTAGTTATGATTTATCGACTTCGTTCAATGACTCATAGCTATTCTTAGCTTAAAAGGAATGATAGAAATGTGAGAGGTCTACACTCATATCTATTTTATAGTGCCTTGAATTTCACTAGATTGGTTCAATACAGCTTGGTATGCACGGAAGTTTTTTTCTGATACAATGCCTTAGTGCTATGTGCTTACGTTTACATAATGTTGTTGGCTTTTATTCGCTTCTTATGAAAAATTGTATATAGAATGTCTGCTTATCATTTGCTTACCCTTTACAACATTTCAGGCAGAATTAATTGAGCCTGCTGTGAAGGGAACACTTAATGTTCTGACATCCTGTGCAAAAGTTTCATCTATCAAAAGGGTGGTAGTAACATCTTCAATAGCTTCGGTTAGAAACAATGGAAAACCTATAAACCCTGATGTTGTAGTTGATGAGACTTGGTTCTCAGATCCAGTATTTTGTCAGGAGTCAAAGGTTCGATCATAAATGTGCTTATGTCTTCAATATTTAAGGAATTAACAACATCCATCGAGTTCACTATTACTCTTGTATTTTGTTCTTTATTGCCACGAGAGATAAGTAGCAGACCTGTCATCCTATGCACGGTGGTGTGGAGTATGCATGGTTTTCTGTTGTTTGTATTTGCTTGTAAATCAATGGGTATACTTGGCATAAGTGTAATTTCTTTCAGTTCATGCAGTCATTACTTACCGAAAAAAAAAACATTTAACTGCATCATCTAGTGTTATACGAAGTCCATTAAGATAGTTTTTTTTAGTTTAAGGCCTAAAAGAGATCTTGAAATGTTAATTATTTTAGCATATAGATGGGAAAAGGTCACAAAAGCTGTTTTCTTTCAGAAGAAGTTAGAATTCGGACAGCAAAAACATTAAAGCTTATTTTGTAGTTACCTGTGATGTCATTTAAAAATATAGCTAGAGAGAAGTTAACTTGCTTTAATACCCTTCATTTTTTGCTAATTAAACTTTGGTTCATGTATAAGCTATGGTATATGCTATCAAAAACCTTGGCCGAGGAAGCTGCATGGAAATTTGCAAAACAGAATGGGATTGACTTGGTGACGATACATCCAGGCTATGTGACTGGTCCTCTCTTGCAGCCAACTCTCAATAGCTCTGCTGAGGGGATTCTGAACTTCATAAATCATGGTAAATTTTTCTATAGCAAATGAGGATGATGCATATGATAGTATATTTCTACTTGAAATGTTTTGATTCTTCATCTCAATTGTTACTAGCAACCGTCTAGGTAAAATACTGAGAGTTGTTGTGAACCGGATATGGTGAGTCTTTTCTATATTTCTGACAGGATTGGAAACATTGTATGGGCAATGACATTTAGGAAGAAGGCCCTAATTGATATATGGCTATGGGGTTCTCTTAGAGAGCAATTTATGTTTTACTTAACTAATCAGGTTACGAATAGAATCTAATCTAGTTTGGAAGGAAACTAATCATTCCTTTTCATGGCCGCCAGTACGAGGTTCTTGGAATTGTTTTTCTTCTGACAGTTGGTCATTGATATAGGATTTGGTTCCAGAAAGAATTGTGATGGGGAGAAAATCCTTCTGCAAGTTTTTTCTCTCAATTCATTCTGTCATTTGAAGTTTAAAGGTCAACCATCTTAATTTTTTCTTGTTTGGAAGAAGTCTAAATTCATTATATTCATTGTAAGTTTCAATTATTTTGTGAGACGCAGGAGATGTTATCTTCTTTGAAGTTGCTCATTCTTTCCCCCTTTTTTTTTTTGGTTCTAATGACATGCCTATTTCTTGAGGACAATGGCCCCCGAGGATTATTTCGCTTGCTGATTGTGAATTTGTATTATATTCCTTGGCATCATGATAAACTGAATTGGCAGGCTGCTATCAACATTATTCATAATTCAGTTCAACATGATCGAATCAAATATGTTAAAATTAATCGGCACTTCATTAAAGAGAAGTTAAACAAGGCATGATTTGCATGCCTTTTGTGAAGTCAGAATTAGTTAGCCAATATTTTTACAAAGGGGCTTAGTAGCAAGGTTTTCACCCTATTGTTTGCAAGTTGAGTATGAGAGATATCTATGCACCAACTCAAAAGGGACTGTTACGTTCTGTGTTATTTCTAGAATAAGGGTATTTTAGTATTTTGTGTTTATATATAAAGAGGATATAATTGTGTAACCTAACACACCCTACCCTATTGTGATAATCTTTTCTTTTCTCTCGCCCTCTCTCTAAACCCTAACAATTTTACAATTTAACCATAAATTATGTTTAGTAGCTTTCAAGCAACATACACATATTTTGTAGAACTCATACAAAACTGAAGTAAAAATTTTGGAGTACAATAATTTCCTTTTGTTTCCACGTTTTTTTAATCATGAGATAATGGCCAAATATTATTTTTCTACTTTTTTTTTTAATTCCAATGACTGTTGCATTGTTGCATATGCAAATCTCTTTTTCGTTCTTAGGTACATCTATACATGCAATTTTTTTGATACAAGCATTTAAGTTATATATGATTTAGGACAAGAAATGCTCTCTACTGGAATCTATTCATATGTTGATGTTAGAGATGTTGCATATGCACATGTTCAAGCATTGGAGATTGCTTCAGCTAATGGCAGATACTGTTTAGTTGAGACAGTGACATACTCTTCTGAAACTCGGAAGATATTGCACAAGCTTTACCCTACTCTCAACATTCCAAAAAAGTAAGTATTTAGTATTTCAAATGTCCTTAATACTAGATGACTGTGCTAATAATTGAAATAATTAAAGTTGACCACACGTTCAGAAAATGCGCATTATTCAAAACTAAAGTAGGCCACCCAACAATGTAAATTAGACTCATAATTAACTAGAGAACAATTATTATCTCTAATCAACATATGTTTACATGAAAGGGGTTAACTCTAAGCCTTTTTTATTTGAATTTCTATTGAAAATATTGACAAGAAGTACCATGTAATGTCATGCTTAAAATGCATGATTGATTTATTTCTTTCGGTATAGAAAAAAATGGATTTGTGGTACTTTTCCTTTTGATTTGCAATTAACGTTTCAAAAAATATTTATCGTAGTAATCAAAGATATATTGTATATATTATCTTTTGATGTCGACATTATTGCTTTAGCAAAGAAATTTTAATTGAATTTAATACTATTTTTTATGGCAGGTGTAAAAATGAAAAGTTGCTTGTCCCACCATTCCAAGTATCGAAGGAGAAGGCAAAAAGTTTGGGCATCGATTTCCTTCCTCTTGAAGTGAGCCTTAGGGACACCGTAGAAAGTTTAAAGGAGAAGAAATTTCTAAATTTTTGAATAATAATATAATACTGAGCAGAGCAATGCAAGTGCATAAGACGTTATGTTTTTCAAGGTTTTATGTTGTAAAATTTGCCACAATAATTGCAATGATATGCAACAAGTTGGAATATGTTTTGGTTTGTGCTTTTCATTTCTTTGCCTTAATATTGTATCTATGCAAAATCCTTCACATGGCACCTTCTCCTAAAAGATTTTAAGATTTTTGTTTTCCCCTCCCCTTATTAGTTAAATGCCTCAGAATGCATACTGAATTTTTTTTTTAAATTAACTTTTAAAATCTAAAGTGACGTTATAATGCATTTGCAGACCGAAAACTAATTGCCACCTAGCAGTTGTGGCATAATGCTATACTCTTGAAATTATAGTTCTGAATATTTATGTCTCTCAATTATTAATTCGAGTGCATGGTAACTTGAACTATTTATATTTATGACAGGGTTATTCAAAATCGGTACTATTTTGAATTTAAAAGGGCCCACATCTCAAAAGTGTTGGAATTAAATTTAACAATTACGAGAGAAATAAAATCAGAATCACATTTTGAGAGACAAATTATAATCAATCTCGAGGCCACCCCCGAACTACTCCAATGAAACCCTCCTATAATGAAACTCACACCTAAAATAAATTGAGGGTTCCTTGAAAGTCGGTATACCTAATTAAACTTATTTGACAAAAAATACATAGAACAAAATATTTTGAAAAAAAATACACAACTGAGATACAAAGACGTAAATGCCCATTTTATGGTCATTTAATTCAAAATCTCTTATCTTTAATGCACCTTGATTCATGTATGTTTGTTAAATGCACATTGATTCATGTGTGTCGTTAATACATATAAATAGGTATATGTGTGTGTGTGTATATATATTATTTTCAAATTATATTTAATGCAGCTTGATTCATGCATTTTTTTTTTTTTTGAAAAGTGGTTTTAATTTTAAATTAATTTAATATCCATAACAATAACAGTGTAACAAAAATAATGTAACAATAACAATATAACAAAAACAGTGTTCAGTAGTTTTGTGCATGTGGTAACAAATTAAAAACGGATATGGATTATTTTAAATGAAATTATATGAAACTATATATTTAAAAAAATGTAATAATACAATATTTTGTGTAAATAATTTATTACACTGTTATTGTTACATTATTACACTATTCAGATATTAAATTAATTTAAAAATAAAATCACTTTAAAAAAAACACATGAATCAAGGTGCATTAAATATAATTTGAAAACAAAATCACTTTAAAAATATATATATATATATATATATATATATATATATATATATATATATATATATAAACTAGGAGATGTTTAATGCACTATTTTTCAAAGAAAAAACACATAGATTAATAAAGGGTAAAAATGTCACAAAAAAATAAATAAAATTTAAATAATGTACTTAGATACAAATAAGTATCAAAATTAAGGATTTAATTATACAATATTTTTTTGTGTGTACTTTTTTACAATTAAGTCTAATTTGGTGTACTTGCTTCCAATTTTCCCATAAATTTACGTCCACTAGCCAACACCCATCCAGAGAGAGAGAGAGATCGGTGTATGTATATACATACACACACACATGACTAGATCCAATAGATGTCGCATCGTGGTTGACTGAATCGATCTTTGCTGCGTATTTATGGTTATTTGTTTTTTAGATCAAATGATACATGAATTTGTTGGGCTTTGCTTGTTTGATGATGGGGCATAGAAGACAGTCAGAGATGAGGTAGGGCTTGGGAGTTTCCCAATGCTAGTATGGGAGAGGCTGTTGGAGGTGGGTTTTGGTTTTGGGGTGCTGTCAGCATTGGGTATGGGGTGGGGGACCACTGGAGTAGGGGAAAGGGATTTGGGGGCATCGTTGGAGCTGCGGGTGGGGGATTGTCGGAGCAAGAGGTGGGTGTTGGGGGCACCGTCAAAGTAGGGGAAGCGGTTGGAGGCATCACTGGAGCTGGGAAAGGGGTTGGATTCAACGAGAAGATGTTGGGGGTATTTTAGCAATTTTGTATTTTCCATCCACTCTCTCAGTTAATTTAAGTCTAAAAAAAATTTAAGAGTCCATTTGGTATGGAGGATGAAAAATTAGAAGGAATATATTTTTCCTCATTATGTTTGATATGATGGTGGAAAATTGAAGGGATATATTTTCTTTTGGGTTCGTTTGTTTAGCTGGAGAATGATAGAAAATTCAAGAAAAATAAATTTTTTAAAATTTTCATGTGTTTGGTTAGCATGAAAAGAAAAATGATGGAAAAAATAATTTTCCTACATTCTTGAATTTTCTTACAAATAACCAAATTTTTTTTCTTACCAAAAATGCAAGAAAGTTATATTCTATAACTAACTTCCTACTTTACCCTTAATTTTCTTAAAATATTTTATTGGTTATTAATTTTAAAAAAATTTGGTATGAATTTGATTAATCATATAATTTGGACGAAAGACATTTGTATTAGTGATTATCTTAAGATTAAGTTTCGAGCCATTTTTTAGGAATTTTTTAACTTTCAATTATAATTACTTATTTTTTCCTTTTAAAACCGATTTAATATAATTAAGGATAATTTAGACAATTATAAAAAAATTCTTATAACTTTTCTTTCTTTTAAACAATAGAATAAAATTTTTCTGTAAATTTTTTATTCTAACCAAATACATGTATGAAAATATATTTTCTATCAGTTTCTTTTCTTTCACTTTACTTTTTATCATTATCACTTTCCATCATTTTTTTCTTCCTAACCAAACAAACCCAAAATTGGATGGAAAGGGAAAATATATATATCAAATTTACCATTATACCCTCACATCTAATTACATGAATAAGATTAAAGAAAATAAACCAAAATACATGATTTTTTTTTTATAAGTATATAATATTTAAACCCCCTAAAGTATATAAGTATATAATATTTAGACCATTTTTAAGTTTAAAATATTATATTTAGACAAAAAATACTCTAATCAAACATGAAATATTAAATATTTTAAATTTTACAACCAAAATTCATGTTCTATTGTATCATTTATTGAAATAAAATTTACTTATAAAGAAATTCTTAATTTGATTATTTAATGTGTATCCAACTAGGGATTATATGTATTTTTTTCATTGCGTACATTTAATTATTAAATCTTCCATTACATATACAAAAGCAAACTTAATAAGTTAAGTTCTAATTATATTATGCGGTAAATACTAAAAATTATATAATTAAAGAGAGTGGTGGGTAAAATAGTAAATTCTCAAAAAAAAACTCATCTTCCCTCCATTTTCAATCCATTTTTCACCCATTTTTGGGGTGGAAATGTTTTGTGGGCTCAAGGGAAAGCATTTCCATTCCATTTTTCATTCTCTCTCATTTTCCCTCCATACCAAACAATGAAAAGATTTTTCTTCCATCCCACTTTTCTTCCTTCATTTTTCATCCTTCCTATTGTCCCTCCAACCAAACAGGGGGTAAGAGACCAAATTATCGAATTTGAAATCAGAGAGAGTCAATCACAATATTATCCAAACTTGGAGGGGACATTTTATAATTAACACTAAAACATAATAAACATTACAAATAGAGATAGAAGAGCTTAACTATATCAATTTATATTGAAGGATGATAAATCGATGCATTACTCAATAAATATTTCATTGAACATGTCTTACTTTTTATTTATTCTTAGAGTACAATCAATTTTTTTTTGCTTTTGCTTAATTATTCTATGGATTAGTAAATATAAATTAAGGCATTAATATCAATTATAATTGTAGTATTAATCAACTTTCTAATTCAAATCTGTAAACTCCAAAAAATAAAAGGAATCATAAATAAACATTACTATTGTCTTATTAAATTAAATGACACAGCACAAACCTAGACACATGAATCCAATGGGTTAATTTCTTTTTAATTTGGAGCTTTTCAAAAAGATAACATGAGACCTTCCTTTTCCCAATCACTAAATATTAAATGTCAAACCCCACATATTACATTGTCATTGCTTACGTCACAATGATCAAGCTGTTAGAAACATCAGAAAATAGTGATGAAATGTTATGATCGATAATGCATATTCTTAATAATTGTAATTTCACCTTTAAAAAATATAATTTATCCTAAAAAAAATAATAACCTTTAGAAGTTGTAACTTCTATGATCAATCATGTCTTTTCCAGTTATAATTTTTATCTCAAAAAATTATAAATTTTAATACTTTATTAAAATTGATACCGTAGTCATCCTTTTTTTTTTTTGTTCCTTGAAAATGGATATGCAAATAGACCACTTCACATATTCACCAGTGAGTATTGTCCCTCAGCACCACACAACTATCTGTAGAGGACCTCATCTCACCTACGTCAGGACAAAAGTTAAGGTCTCATCATGTGCTATGAGCGATGGAAAATAAGTTTAATTCCAACGAGTTATCATAACTATTAAAACTCGAACCTAAGTAGTAAGCGAGAAAATCCGAAATGCTGTAGTCTTCCTCTAGTGATCATATTACCTCCAATGTCTCGCCAATATAAATTTAGTTGGGGAAAACATCAATAACTTCTCCGTCGAAAAATAAGTCGGTCCTATCAAATTTGTAATTGAACAGTGAAGTCATTTTTTTTTTCTTTTTAATAATTAGACCCAAAGAAGTTCTAATTCTTAACATATTCCACTTTCACCCTTTTTAGTGTTAATTAAAAAACTGTCATTGTTCTCTCTTACACTCAAAGGGATGGTTTTTTCCCCTTTTGCCATTGAACCTAAGTCGTTTTTATGTTTTTTTTTTGTTTGAATTGGATCATATCCAATTTGTCCTTGAAACTCATTTAGTAAATATGTCAACAAGGATTCATTTTCACATTATGTTTTTCTATTTCAATTATCCAATTATCATGTTATTAATTTAGTTGGTCCCTAAATTTTATCTCGAATTTTAATTTAGTCCATAAACTTTCAATTTTCTTAATTAAGTCTTTTCATTTATTTTCACCGTTAGATCAAAATGAAAATATCTGATTAATGCTTGAATTGATTAAAATAGGCTAGTTTCAAATAAAATAAATGGAATGACTTAATTAAGTCAAACTTAATAATTGAATGACTAAATTGAAATAATTAAATATTCAAGGACCAAATTAGAACCTGAGATAAAGTTTAAAGACTAATTATATTATTTACCCCTAATTAATTGTTTATGAATGTAAAGAATCTTTATTTGGGTAAGTGAATATAATGAATTTTATAAAATAAATTGTTCCAATTTTCAAAGAAGTCCAGCAAGGCTGGCGTATCCGCTTACCAAATTCGCAGGTCCATGAAGACCATAAGTTGTCATGATCATATATTATGGCTATCTTAATTTAATTTGCGTTTATTTTAATTTAACAGTATAAAATTTATTATAATTTTTTTTACTCACATTTTATCTTTTCTATATGACTTTTAATGTCAAATAATTCAACTAACCCACCTTTTTTTTTTTTTTTGGTTCAATGTTTAAGAGTGTTCGAGCTAATTTACGTACAACTCGACTAATTCTCTCTCTCATTTCAGTTAAAGTTAGATCATCCTGACTGAGACTAGAGTATTCGGGAGGGAATAAATCCGTCACATGGTTTGACTCTAAGTGATTATCGAGATGCGAACTCAAGTTATGTAAATTTACAACTCGTCTCTATCACTTTTTTAGTTATTCATTAGGGTTACTAGCACACATTTTAATATAAAAAAATCTCATTAATTAACATATCTCTCTCTTCTATTCGTCTTTTGTTTTTTCCACCTAAACTTTAAATTTAGATATATAATTAAGGAAAAATTTCAGTTACACTTTTATTAGTTTATTATATCTTCAAGAACACCCTTTCTATTATCCAAAGCATTACTGATACTCCTTTTAGTTTATATTTAAACATTACTGACACTCTCTGTCTTTAAGCCACAGTTTTTAACAAAAAAATTCATCTAAAATACAAAAAATTACCCCTACATAAACCTATACAATTTTTTTTATATAAAAGTTGATTAAAATTTAGGTCAATTAAAATTTATTTTTCTATATATTAAAATTAGAGTTGATTAAAATTTATTTTTTTTCATATTAAAATTTGATTTGAACTAATTAAATTTTATTTTTTTACATATTAAAAAGCGAGCCAATTAAAATTTTTTTAAGTATTAACATTCGAATCGATTTGAGCTCTACCTGAGTTGCTATCGCTTATTAAAATTCGATTTAAATAGATTAAAATTTATATTTTTTTATTCATTAAAATCCATGTTAATAAAAATAAATTTTAATCGGCTCAAATTTTAATATGTGAAAAAATATAATTTTTAATCAACTCAAATTTTAATACGTAAAAAATGAATTTTAATACATAAAAAAATTGAAAAAATTAGAGAAAGTCTTATTGAAAATATACATATTTAGAGGAGGTGTAGATGTGATTTTTCCTAAAATATATCATAGACAATTTAATAAAATTATATTGTAATTAACATCTTTAATCTGATGGAGTAAACTAGAAAGAGTGTGATTAAAATTTTTTCTATAATTAAAAATAAAGTATTAATTAAAATAAAAATAATTGAATATTCAATTATTTGTAGTGAAGACCCTTATTGCTGCTAGTCTTTATAAATTAATAAATACGACCACCCACCTTTCAAATGCTCACCCCACTCGGTCACCAGTTACGGTAATAATTAGTATCTTCAGCTTAGGAGAGAGAATGAGCGGAACAGGGAGGGTGGTGTGCGTGACCGGGGCTTCTGGCTACGTAGCATCATGGCTAGTGAAGATGTTGCTTGAGCGTGGTTACACCATCAAGGCCACCGTTCGGAAACTCGGTCAGCTCTCTCTGTCTCATCGCCTTTACCGTTGTTATTCTCTGTATGTAGCACATATTGTTTGGAGTCTTCTTTGTTTCCTATTCCTTTCTGTTGGTTGGTTTATCGTACAATCCCCTATTAAACGGGTCAAAAGACGAACAT